CTCCCAAGTCCTCCTAAATCAATCATTTACATACTGGAAGACAGGCCTATTATTGTGGAAGGTGTTGCTAGGAAACCAATGAAACAAACAAACAAAAACCTAGTCCTGAGAAAAGGCCAGCTTTCAGGAAACCCCTTTTGGAGCAAAACGGGCAAGATTTCTTCTTGTTTTCCCATAATGAGGAGGATATTTGGCAAATATAGCAGCTACTGATAACAAATGAAATACAAAGGATTGTATACTATCAAACTCAGACATGAATGGAAGTAGTTCTTACAATGGTAGTCCTTCATCCCTGTTTAAAAATCCTAACATTCTCTCCCATTTCAAACTACGATTACCCATATATTGTACTAGGAACTCAGATAGGATACAAATGCTGTAGCAGTTAGTGACGTGTCTGGGGAAGAGACATTTATGTGCGTAGGACCACTCAAACTTAGTTTTGTTTCATTACTGTGAGAAAGTTCTGTGTTGAGGGAAATCCAAAACATAACTGAGTTTGTGATACTTAGCTGAATGTTGGTTTAGGGGTTTTTGTTTTCTTCTATGATCACATGATGCTGTATCATACTGGAAGACAGTATGATGCATGACTGCCATAGTCAATGTGATAGCAGTTGTATATCTCATCTGCTTATTAGTAGCACGTTAATAGATGGTGAAAATGTTACTGAAAAAGGAAATAAAAGCCTGCCTTACTTTATGCTCGCAAAAGCCATGTCACTCAAGCTTTGTACTGCTGTTGAATAATTCCAGAATATTTAGCACTGAAACATAGACCTTGTATAATACCTTAGTTATTCCAAAAACTGGGGTGTTCTTGAAATGTGTTTTTGTTCAGGTCCTGGCACAGCCACTTGGACATGTATTCAAAATTGCTGCATTAACTAAATTCCCAGACCCTGACCTGCTTGAGGCTGATGCCTGGAGGGAGATTTTCAGTGTGTTTTTTCTCAGAAAGAAAAAAAAAAAAGTCTCAAATTCTTTGTTGCTGGACAGTAATACTGGCAAGACAGTAAGAAAATGGGAGTAATACTGTTACTCTGGTGCATTATTCCAGATGTGAACAGGAGGGAAGGCTATAAACAGGAAAATGTATTTCTGTCCACCAGCTTTCTACTGTACCATACTAATTCTTGGAGTGGGTACAAAATATACTTCATTCCTTGAACACAGCAAGATTAAAATGTGCCGTATTCTTTATTATGAGCTAAAAAAGCTGTGTCAGTCATCATTTAGTAAAATGCCTGTCATAAGTATTCTTCAAAAAGAAGAAAAAACTGAAAGATTTTGTCATTTGGAGCATGGGATTTCAAAAGTTTTTTCCCTTTATACTGTGAGTCATGTGAAAAGAATGTCTCAACCAAAAAAAGGGAAAAAAATCAATGGACTATACACTTTATATTGAAATTTAACATTTCAGAATAGCTAGAGAAATAACATTGAATTAACTGAGAGTTTTTCAGGATTTGAAAAAATCTTTTGTAAAATCAGAGAAATAGTAAGCAAACAAAAATTAAATGGCTGCTTACAGGCTTACTGTTTTATATGTGAAGAAATGCTCTTTTATATACTGTTTGTTAAACTTGCAGGACTGAAATCTTAATAACTTTTCTATTTCTGACTGAAAACTAAAACTTCTATCATTTGCCCTATAAAAGAACAGCAGCAGATGCCCCTGAACACCATGTTTCAGAGTTAAAAACTGACATTGCCTCTTCCAGTCATGTGACTTACATGAAGAAATTAAGGAAATGCAGAGGAAAGCTGCAAGTCATACACTGTTAAGGAAGCTAACTGAAATTCCTGAAGTTAAATCTCCAAGCTTTAAATAGGAGACTAGCCAGACATATAGGAAGCAACATAAAATAATGTACCACAGCTCCAGAAAGAAGAAATGTGCCAAAAAGAATCTCTTCCCCACCCCGCCCCCCTGCCCCTTTTTGCCGTTTTTCTGCTTTGAGATTCATGGGGGCATATTTGTTCCCTGTTTAGAACCTAAATGAATGTGTTCCTCCTGAGGGAACTGTAAGGGTGTTGGCGTAATGACGCTTCAGTTGGCACGTGCAGCAGAGTCTCTCCACAGCCATTAATGCTTTCCGTGGGACTGGTACCCGGTTGGTTTTTGTTTGTAATTGAAGTATGCCATGAACAAGCTTACCAGGCATGCTTTGGTCACTCTTGTGCCTGTCCTCAAATCCTTACCATCCTTTGCAGCATGGTAAAATTAGGAGGAATGCTAGATTTTTATAAATACACCGACCTGGCTTTCTTCTTTCTGATTCTTTGTGTAATGGAAGTGTGGCATCTGCGGCTTTCTCCAGCCATCAGAATTGGTCCTTTTTCCAGAACAGCCAAAAAAGAGCTGCTGTGTGCTACTGTTGATGTTTGAGTTACCTAAAACATTAGAGAAACCTACAACAAAAGAACACAAAATTTTACACTATTTCCCCCTCCCTTGCATACCATCTATGTAGTTGTATAGGTAATAGTTACCTGGCCTTTTATGGATAAGAATATTAGTTAAGAAATTTATACATAAATTAGCTAGGAGATGGGAAGTTAAACTTAGAAAAAAATGCTAGGGTAAACTTGCTACGTACCTTTCAATAAGGTAGTCTACTTGCCTTGAATATTTTTCCTACCATTCAGGCTGCAAGGTGATGCACAAGAATAGATTCATATATCTGTGCGTGAATTTTAGAAATTAATAGTCTTTAAATATTGTAAGGACTTTTAAGAATACCTCAATCCACAAATATGCTGAAATAAAATGGATTGTAAATCTTACATTGTTTTTGTCCACAGGGTAAAACATCAAGTGGAATACTTAGGTCTTAAAGAAAATATTCGAGTAAGAAGAGCTGGCTATGCCTACAGGCGGGTTTTCAAGAAGTTCTTGCAAAGGTAGGGTAATGCTAATTTTGAAGTATTACAGCACAGTTGTTTACATGATGAGGAGGAAAGCAAGAAGTTGCAAGTTTTGAAAGCTTCTTATTTCCCACTTATCCTTTTATTTCTCCCCATTTACCTTGGTTACACAGAGATTTGAAAGTGTTTTAAAGACTAGCTTTGTGGCTTTGAAAGTCTTTTCATTTTTCTGTACACTTGCCTAAGACCTTAGTTCTTTTTGCAGTGCTATGAGAGGGTTCCTCAAAGTTAAACAGAGTTAAGGGAACTTTAGAGTTACAAAGCTGTAGAGCCTGGAATCTGAGTGTCTAGCTGCTAGCCTTGGTTTAATATGTGACTGCATTAGCTCTCCCAACTCTTCTTTCCCAATGACAGAAGACAGGTAAAGAAATACATGCCTGCCATTCAAGTGTAAAGAGTAACCTTAGCTTAGATTGCTGGTGTTCACACAGCTGGGAATGGTTACAACTAAAACCACTGCAGCTGCTCACTGAATGAAAGCAAGTCAGAGCTCTGTAAGACCAATCCTTTTCTCAGTGTCTTAGGACCAGCTGTTAAGACAAAATCCTCTTAAATAAGAGCAATTTCAAGATTTATGCAACATTCAGCTTCTGTGGGTTTTTTTGTTGTTGTTTGGTTTGGGGGTTTTTTAGAAAATTGAGATATATAGCTAGTAAATGCCCAAACTGATGACAAATCAACTTTTGTTGGAAGTCTTTGTGTTACATTTGAGAATATAAAACAAAAAGAATCAGTTGTTGCAAGGACTGGAGTATAATTAATTAAACAGCACAGAACAAAGCCATTGATAATACTTCATGATAATGTCCTCCTCATCTAGTAACTAATAGACCTTAAATACCATAAAGTATGGGCTCAGTTTTCATTGTGGAACAATTTTAAATCCCCTTTTCTTCACAGTCTTCAAGCCCATGTGTATAAACATGGGTATGTTTCAGGTTGCATTACTTAACAGAGACTTTTGCTGAGACAGAATGACTGATCACTAATGTATGTTGAATCTAGCCTCCACAGTTGTTGAACACTGATTGTGAGGGCTGTGCAGGTCTAGAAATCTGCCCTGAAAGGTCTGCACAAAGGAAAGCTATGTGATAATTCCGGAAGGTGAATAGATTTCTGTACTTCACTCTATATATAGAGATCCACAGAGAAATGAAACCTGTCTTTATGGAATTCATCCATTTGTTTCAAATTAGTCTTATTAAATTTAACATTTTGTTATGAGTAAAACTCCCTACAACCTTTCCATTCCCAGTTCCATAGCATCCAGAACAAGCTCTGTTCTGACACCCTGAGTCTGTGTGAGTAAAAGCGGGCTGAGGCATGGGATGGACAGGAAATGCATGCTTGTACACTTGTTTTCTTTGGGAGTTCCTTGGCAGCTCCATGTAAGTGGAGATTTCTGGGCTGAATAGACTTTTATGTACAAAATTTACATTTGCATGCAAAAAGCCACAGTCACTGAAAAGGCCTATGTGTTTCAAAGCATAACCAATCTAAAAGCTGAACTGCATACTCCCATATTTAGACATAGGGCCTGACTGCTTACTGTGAATTTGTAATAGATAATTTTCTGGTGGCAGTCATGATTTGAAATTGTTTCAGAAGCATTTAAGAACACACTTAGTACTTGTGCTGAAATCCTCTGTGCAATTATACAAGCTTGAAAAACCTAGATACATGGATATTGCCATGAGCAGTTTAATGGGAAGCATGCACAAATACATTAGAGGAGAGTGGTATTTCTGAACAGCAGTGAACAATGATAGAATTGTCATGTTATAAAATTTTTAAATGCTTAATTGGTGCATATTACAGAATAATCTGTTTTTCCTGCCGTGTAGACTTACCACACTAGTAAAACGTACAAAGTTAATCTGATGTTTTGAAAAAGGAGAATTTCTAATGTATTCTTATTTTGTACCCAAGAGCTTTATTTATATTAAAAGGTCTTAAGTCTTGTTTTACTCCGTGCCTTCCTTTACAGTTCAGATGTAGGAAGGAATTTGTAACATGCTGAAATGTAGCGTCAGATTCTGTTGTGTGGAAGGTAGCAGTTTCATATGCCTTTATTAACATTAGCTCCTTTAAATTCAGACTGGCTTAGACTCACCTATACAACTATACTGTTGACAGTACATGATGAACCTGCAAAAGAAGCTGTTAAATAAGCTTGGAGATACTTTAACTTACAACTCCTTACAGATTTGCATCTATTTATCCCATAATACTGATAGCATCTTACATATTACATACATATATAAGTTTACACAGTGTCTGTAAACATAGACAGAATTCTATATTTAAGATGGTATAAGAGCTACTTTGTTACACCATCATGCATAGTACCCGAGCATTTGTTAACTAATACTAGATTGGAACATGATAACATCAGTGCATCCTTTTGAATCCTACTGAATTATTCATAAGTTAGCTTTCTCTTTTCATATACTTGCTATTCAGAGGCGTTAGGGTTTTGTGATACGCTCCTTTTTAACTGTTAGCTATTTTTCTTTGCATGGTATTGTTATTTAAGTTGCATGACACTGTTTCTGCTTCCTGGCTGGATAACATTTTGGATATGACAAGAATGAGTAATGAACATTCCCTGAATTAATTTTCTAACTATTCCTTGTGTGATTTTTGAGAACATTTTATTAAGAGCTGCCTAAATCTTCTTAAGAAAAAAGAACTTGGTAATTACTACAAACTGAACACCATACTTCATCACTTCTTTCATGAGTTGAACAGTTTTACTAATAAGCATGATTTAGTTCATATAACTCAAGTATGCTTAAGGCATTAAAAAAAAATGGTTAAGAGTAAAGATCATAAAAGATATGGGGGAGAAATTTGTCACAACACATCTAGTGGTTCTCCTGTCTTTGTCAAAGGTGTCTAAATAGCTACTGCTAGAGAAGTTACTTATCCATAGACATGCTGAGGCAGCTAAAGCTCATCAGTGCTCCTTGGTGGGCAGTGGAACAAGGCAGCTTTGTAACTCCAGCCTGGCAGTTCCAAAAGCCCAAGTTAAGCCTGAAAATTGGACAGTTTAAAACAGGCTGCAACTTGGCATCTACTTTGTTTTCAAGGCTTAAAAAGAAGACCACAAGACAGAAGACTACTCGCCTCTTCCTATCAAAGACATGGTATATAGCACTTACCTGCCTCCTTCCTTAGCCCTTTGTGCGGTCAGTTCCCAGTGTTCCCTCCAGATAGCACCAACATCACTACATCTTCCCTATTGTACCAGAGGCCAAGCCAAAGGCTTTCTGGGATAGAGCCAAGAATGGCTGTGTGCTAAATGCAGACCAGCTGTTGAACAGGTGGGCTATGAGCATGAGCTGGCCACTTCCTTAGAAACGCAAAAGGCCTTTGTAAGAATAAGGCAGAGAAGGCTCGAGTAGGAAATTGGCCATGCACTTGGGAATGAATCTAGAATACCAAAGGTGTAGGTACTTAAATCTGGACCATAAGTCATTGCTAGTAAATAATCTTGCCCTGGACTTAAGGAGATCAACAGCACAACTTTCTGTAATTAAGTGCTGCAGTTACCAAATAGTAACTTAGCATCTGGAAGTGGGAGACTCCGGAACAGCGTTGCCTTTGTCATTGCAGTTGTTTGGTCTTGCTAAACAAGTAACATCTTAATACTGTGTATCTTCCTACACTCCAGGCTTCTCTAAGTCCTGCTGAAATTGTCAGCCCTCCCCCCAGCATAATACTGACTAGAAGTCAGTGGTATTCTGCTGCTGCTGTTTGATGACAGGTTTTAATCTCTTCTCCGTGGTGGTTAAGGTACGCCATTCTGACCAGAGCAACCTGGCCTTCCTGGAAAGGAGAAGAGAAACAAGGAGTTCTCCACCTGCTTCAGTCAGTCAACATGGATCCTGACCAATACCAGCTTGGGAAGTCCAAAGTCTTCATCAAAGCTCCAGAGTCTGTAAGTGTGGTAGAACACAAGTCTTTGTGAAACTGTTGCTGAAATAAAAGGCCTGCCCACTCAGAAGTTGAGCATGGTATCTGCTAAGGTGGGAGAAGCATAAGAATACAAGTCAAACTAGGCAAGCCTGTCACAGGTGCCTTGAGGCTGCAGAGGGATTCTAGACACTTTTATAACAGGCAAAGTTCATAAGAACCCTGAGTGATATTGGCATTAAAAGAAGGAGCATTAAATGCATCAAGAGGAGATGGGGATATGAAGATGCTTTGGTGTCAGGTCGCACATGGTGACATTTCATCAGAAGAATGTCATAGCATGTAAACATATCTATGACCATTAGCCCAAGCAAATAGGCCCTCTTCTCAGTATCAGAACTACTGATGAAAGTAGAGTGGCCCCCAGTTATAGTAAGGATATGTTACACATCACTGAGTAAATCAGTGTTCCAGAATGACTTCAACTTGAAATTCCATTCAAAGAGAACATCATAATGGAGGCATCATAATGCTGTTTTTATCCTGTGGCTGCTAAGCTGCACAAAATCTGTTGGAAAAGAGTTTTCTTATATCACTATTCAGAAAAGTTGTCAGGGGAAAAAAACTATGCTCTACTCACCATCATGTATTCTTTATTTATCAGAAACAATCATGTGTTTTTTTTTGCCTGAAGTTATATGTCAACATAAAAGCAAAACACTTCTATTGCTACCATTTCCTTCTCCAGAAACATATTCTTTGCTGTGTAGAGCAACAGCAGTTCAGGCAGTGACACTGCTGTGCCCAATCACATGGGAAGATCTCTGTTAAAAGAAAAAAGGTAATACTTCTCCAAGTCGTAATGGAAATTTTGTTGTTTCTACCATAAATAAAGATAGTATCATCTCTGTTGAGGAATAATGGACCTTTATATCTCTGCCATCTGAGGGACATGTTTATATAATAAAGCATATAGCATTTGAGATATAGGTTATTAGAATACTTAAGTGCATGTTGGCAGAGCAGGAAATTCTAGTATAGGATTAATCGTACTTAGTCCTGTAAGCAACACCTTAGCTAGCCAGTTATGAGGAAGCGTGAGCTTTAGCTGCCTTCTGCTGTAGCACAGGCCATGATTTATTTCCTAAGATTACTGGGGAGCTTTGTCTGTATTACAAAGTCTGTGTGATAGCCTTGGACATTAGTGGCTGTCTTTAGTGGCTGTCTTTGATATCTCTTCTTCTGACGTTACAGTTCTGCGTTCAATCTTATACTGTATCAAATGTGATCTTCTTGTTTTCACTATGAAATTATTTCACGTCCATGCCATTCATTGCAGTTAGCTACAAACCAAATACAGTCTCAGTTTGGGAGATAAATAATTAAAGGGAAGAAATCAAAATAATTTTTGTGTGATGGCTGTTTTCTCGATGTTATGCTACTTTATGAATAAATCAATCTAGAATTTTTAAGTATTTTTGTTTTCAGGTTCATGTAATTAATCATATAAGGAACTATCTTCCCTTCCTGGCTGCTAAAATACCCTACACTTGGTATGGTTGCCCCTTATAAGAGCACAGATTTTCAGCAGCCATATCTTCACAATTGGGGGGGTCTTATTCCTGTGGTTTTTTTAAAGAAAAAAATTAAATAATTTGCTGGTATCTTGTCTTCTGTTTAATAGCCAAGTGGCAACTGCTGACATAAGACTAATGGATCTAATTCCCCTTTGCTCTAAAGTGGCCAAAACATAAATATTCTGTACCTGAACGTCATATACTACTAGGTTGTTTCCAAGAGGAAACAATTTTTCCTAATGGATGCATCTTCCCATTCTAATGCATTTTTGTAACACTAAGTCCTGGTTGCACGTATATGCCATTTAATGGCATATCTGCGAGTTTTACTGAAGGGCAGTTCTGCAGGTTAAGACAACATGGGGTTGACTGGAAACAGTAAACCTTATCTGGGTTGCATTTTGAGTTTAACTTAAATTAATGCTTTCAATTATTGTAAACTTTTTCTTTAAAAAAAAACATTCTTTGAAAAGCCATGAAATTGATTTTTAAACAAGTACTAAAAATAGTCTGGGCTTTTTTCATTTTAAGGTGAAAAATTTTCTATGTGCTGAATATTCTAAAGCTTGATTTGTATCTTTTAGTATCAAAGACAATAATCTCTAATGTCATTATTACTAAAGCATTGTATTGGCTGGGGTTATATTACTTTTTGAAAAAAAAAAAAATAAAAATCTTTTATATAGTAAATGAAAATTTTTCTTTCTACCACCAAGGAGAGCACCTGTTGTGGTTAATCAGATGAAAAATACTTTATTTGCTCAAGAGTGTGAGGGGAGGCTTTATAATACATATTTTAGGAAAAAAATTTATGCAGTATTTTTATTTTATAACTTAGGAACCATATTGTAACTAAATGTTTTTATTGAACTTCCTTAATTGTGATCTTCATCTGCAGGTGATAGACTGTGAAATAAGGTTTTATGGGTGGCAGAAAGGATGCTCAATTATTTACATTTCTATCAAACACCTGAAAAAATAAATGTACAAGAGCAAGTGAGGTTCTGCAGAAATGGTCAATAGGCAACACCAGTATTTTTCTAGATTTTCACAAGTTAAAAAAAAAAAAAAAAAAAGGATCCCCAAACCCAGGTTTGCTTCTTGATATACCTGTTTTTACTATTTTATCTCTTTTGAAAGCTAGAAGAAAAGTCCTTATGAATATTTAACACACAGTCGTGTTAGTGGGCTGCTTTGGTGCTGTAACTGTTAGCCAAATGCTCCCGATAAGACAAGAGAACATTTAACTGAACTTTATGTATGGAAAGGCTATAGTGAAGGAAAGGCTATAACTGAACTTTAAGTATGGAAAAGGCTATAGTGAAATACACTGTATCCTATAATAATTATGAAGTTGCTCTAATGCATTAAATTTACACATGTTTCAGTGGGACCTGGGAAATTCTCAAAAAAGGAGATGCACCTTCCACTTCTGTTTTGATAAGTCAGCATAGCCTCCTGAATTCTGACAACATTTTAGACCCAAAAATCTTACTACTATGTCATACTGGAATACAAGATCATAGTTGCAAATCCTGCAGTCAGCCAGCAAACTTCACTGCTGGGAAAAATGGAGCCAATGGACATAAGAGTATGAAACTAAGACAGGGAAGAAGGTTACATGTGAATATAGTGCATGGCACATGACACAGATCCCCACAGGCATGGTAACATTCTGACAAGAGAGATGTGAATTTTGGAGAATATGAAGATGGAGGCTGGATGGATGACCAGTGGAGGAACTTGAGTTACACCAGGAGAATATTTTAGGGAGAATCCATATTCCTCTTGCTGCATCATTGGATATCAAGATTAGTGGGTAGACCATTAAGAGCCAGAACCACTCGGTGTTAGAGATTTCTTCCAGAAAAGGTTAACTTAACATTTTGATCTCAGATCCCGTAGTTGTGGTAGAGGCACGAGCTTGGATCTAGAGTGAAATGCACTGGAAAGTTGTTGAAAGTAAAATATGCTTTTTCTTGAACTTTTCATATATAATGTTTGACCCACCCTACTGTCTCTTTGAACAGCTGTTTTTGTTAGAAGAGATGAGAGAGAGGAAGTATGATGGATATGCCAGGGCCATCCAAAAGGCATGGAGGAAGTATGTGGCCAGGAAAAAATATGTACAGATGAGAGAAGAAGGTAGGTCGTAACTTCTGATGACAGATCACACATGGTTCCAGGAGCACAAATAGTTCCCCAAGAGATGAAGGAAATATCTCCATCTCTATAGAGCAAACCATTGCATTGCAGGTGACTGTCTACAAATGACCGCAAATTACTGGACCCCTAAGGCACCTCTGATGAGGTTGGCTGCTCTGCAGGCATGGGTTTCTTGGACTACCCAGTATTTCCCTCTCAAAACAAGGCCAGAATGAGAAGGAAAGAGATCAGAGATGTTCCAGGAAAAGTGAAAAAGGAAAAGCTTCCCACAGTTAAAGCTTCCAATCCCTAACATTCTGTGATTCTGTGAGTTATACAGGACCTAGTCAGTAGATTATACAAATCAATCCAAGGACTGCAGTGCTTACTTGCATGTGTGACCTGGGTTGTGTGAATGAACAACATTCTGAATTTGGAAGAGTTAATCTTTAATTTCCAGCAATGACTGAGAAATTCCTTAGTTCCAGAAGTGCTCCCAATTCATCAGAACTGCAGAGCTTGCCATCAGTGCGTTTCATTAGGAATGGATTTATAATCACATGGATCCTTACATAAGGGATTAGTAGCAGTGCTTCACTGTTTTTTCCATGTTATAAACAATTTGGTTATCACTTCTTCCCCAAAAGTTCTGCTTCTGCTTGAAACAGTTAGATCATGAGTTTAGAAAATTTAATAAATACTATTAATCAATATTTACTTTTGGTATTTAAGCATCAGATCTATTGCTGAACAAGAAAGAGAGAAGACGGAACAGCATTAACAGGAATTTTGTGGGAGACTACATAGGCATGGAAGACCATCCAGAGCTACGCCAGTTTGTTGGCAAACGGGAGAAGATTGATTTTGCAGACACTGTAACTAAATATGATAGACGGTTTAAGGTAGGTTTAAGAGCAACATCTACTAATGTTGAGTTCCGCTAGGGAGTTAGGTCTTTGCCATCCTTTAACAGAAACTCTACCATGTTAGTTTCATGCCATCTAGGATATCAGCTTGAAAAAAGTGTCTCAGACCCAGAAGACATATAGGGAAGCAGTTACACCCTAGTGATCCAACAGTGCCATTGTCAAACCTGTTGTCCCAGGATGAAGGCTTTATGGGACCTGCTGGGTAGAAAGCTACATTAGTTTGGAAATGGGGAAGAAAGCTACTTCCCTGTCCTCTGCAATCTGATTCTGAGGTTGTGTGATTAATCACATCATTATTTTTTTCAGTTGAACCAAAGACTTAACATAATCATAGTACATTATGTATCTTTGGAACAGCATCAAAACATCAGTGCACTGATAGCTGCATAGCTATGTATTTTCAAACAATTTTGTGTTCCAGACCGTGAAGCGAGATCTTGTCCTCACTCCAAAGTGCATATACCTGATTGGCCGTGAAAAGATAAAGCAGGGTCCAGAGAAAGGCCAAGTGAAAGAAGTCTTAAAGCGAAGGATGGAAGTAGAGAGAATTCTTTCTGTTTCTCTAAGGTCAGTACCTTGAAAATATTTTTCCATTTACAGAGAAATTTGTATAGGACAGGGGGGGAAAAATTGATTGAAGGGTGAATTTCTTAAGCTGTATTAATTGAGTCTGGTGAACAAGGAAAGCTGAAGCCTTCTTTTCAGACCCAGTCCTATTGTGTTACAGCAATAGACATTTAAAGCCAACATACAAACATTTTCTGACTAGTTAAAACTTTTCACTTACACTGGGTTTTCACCTATCTACTGCGTTCCCCAAAATGTATTCTGTGATGCATACATTTACCATGCACAAGCAGGTTCTAGTAAGTTTTGGCTCAAGCTTGTATCCCAGAAATAATTCTTAGTGAAGAAAAACAGGAAGAAACTGGCCATGAGACCAGTGGATTCTTGCCCATGTAATTTCATCCCTTTGAAGATGAGTGAACAAACTCTCTGTATACCTCTGCATTTGTTATTGCAGTTTATCAGAGCTAGTAGCTGAGTGTAATTTAATACAGAAGAATACTGATCCAGGGCAACAAGTTGTACTTTAAATACTGAAATAAATTACTATTTTAACAGAATACAAGTCTACACTTGACTATTGAGTATTGATAGATACTGCAAAGGTTTCTTAGTATATGCTGATAAAACATTCCCATTAACATAGCCAGAAATCTTCTCACAGACATTTTCCAGTACTTAAAACCAGCAGATTTCACATTTTTCAGAATTCTTCACAGCCATTTAAAGATTAGGGAAAAGTCTGCAAGATGTGTCTGCTCACAGTACCATTTTCAAAACCTGTGGTGTATTTACCGTACATCTTTATAATGAAAGTTGCAACAAAATAACTAGTAGAGCTAGGTTAAAGATGAGAGCTGAACCTGTCTTTTTAGTGCTCCAGGTTTGGACTGTGTGCTGTGCAAACCTTGAACAGATTGCAGCCAGACGCTTGAATTGGGCCCTGTAGCATTCCCAAGGCATCGTCACATTGAGTCAGCTAAAAGGGTGGCTGCCTGCCGAGTTAGTGAAAGCTGTTACCCTCCTCTCACATGTAAATAACAGTTCCACAGAATAGTCTGAAGCAAAACCAAATGTGCTTAGTTCAGAGGAAATGGATATGTTACATTATGTCTAATAATGTTTTGAACTTAGCTTATTGATTTTATTTTGTTGTAAAAAACATTGGGTTTTGTATACGCTAAAAGTAGATTCAGAATTACAAGCTATCAAACTGTCCAGGTATTCCTCCAAAACCAAACCCTAAAAAATGTATGGGGGTAAGAGGGCCCTTCCCTGTTGCCATGTTAGTGTGGCCTGAGTTCAAAATGGGTCTTTATCAGGAGATCTCTTAACTCTGTATTGAAGCAGCTTAGTAGTAATACAACACTCTGGCTGCAGAGGCTGTAAAAGGTATTGGTTCTCTCAAATCTTTAGATAATCTTGTATCAGTGACAAGAGTTAGTGCTTGTAACAGTCTTCAATTAGTAAAACTAGAGCAAAATTTTTATTTACTATATGTATT